TCTATTTTTATTATAACAATGGCCATGAGAAGTAGCATACTTATGATCAAGTTTCCAGTCTCATTCAAAACTTAGTAACAAGCTGATGACTGCTTTCTCTATGCAGGATAGAGATCAGCAGAGAGAGAGTAAAGGACCCTTTGGGCAAAAGAGTTTATGTGAGTCCAGGATATGACCACTTCAGATATCTCATGTAAGTGAAATTCTTGTGATATTTGTTTTTCTCTAGTTGGCTTATCTCACTAAGCATAAGACCCTTATAACTCATCCATACAATTTCACATGGCAAGATTTCCTTCTTTTTTAAAGCTGAATAGTATTTTATTTTAATTGTATATGATATTTTCCTTATTCATCCATTCACCAGGGGACATTTTGCTTAATGTCATATCTTGACTATTGTGAATAATGCTGCAATGAATATGGGAGTGCAAGTAATACCTACAGCATTCTGATTTCCATTTTTCAGATAAGTGATCAGATCGGATTGCTGGATCACATTGAAATTATGTTTTTAGACATGTGAGGAACCTCCATAATGTTTACACAGTGGCACTATTTTATGTTCCCACCAGCAATGAAATGCTTACCAGTTATCTACATCTTCATTAATACTTTATTATTTTGATATCTTGGTAATTATAAGCAGCAAAGATAGGATTATACTTACATTGTTAGAGAGTTTAGCTTATTCAATAATAAAAACAAGATATGATTTCTAGAGTTTCAGAAGTGTAGTATTCAGGTCATCGACATTTCCAGTTCTTAAAATTCTCATACCAAATGGTAGTACTTTCTACTCAGCAGTGAATATCAATACTCCATCACACCCTTCATTTTCATTCATTCCTTCAATTTTTCACCTGCATGCCCATAAGCATCACATCCTTTGGATTCTCTTCAGAAGTATGTTTTCTATCCACTGCCAGTTTTCAAGCGGACATCCACAGTAGCCCTATCCTTTCCATAGCCCTCAACTAGAGTGATATTTTAAATCTTAAATCATATGTATCCCCTTCAGGGACATAGTCTACCTAAGTATCTTGTGTCCTAAGGCACTTTCTGCATGATGAACCTCTGGTTGACCTAGACCATTTGACCCACCACTCTCGTTCTTGATATGTGGACCCTTGTCTACAGACAAAAAAAAACAACTAACTCTATGGGTCTTTTAATATCACGTTTCCTTTCCCTGAGATGCCATTTCCAGGTAATCCTTCAAATTTCAGCTTAAATTTTATTTTACTTAAAATAGTCTTTTCTTATTCTAAATAATCCCCCCCCCAAAAATTATCTATTTCAGTCATCTTGCTTTTTCTTAGATACGTGTCAATCAAAAAAATTTTTAAATGAAAACAAAGACTCATTTATTTTGATTTTCACTGCATCCCTTTACCAAGGTGGGTGTCCTTAGGAGTAGGTGTCTCTTGCTCTTTTATAGACCCAGAAACCCTCATCTTCTCTTTCTTCTCCCATGTCTGTACAAAGCACAGGAAGGAGCAGCACAGGGGTAATTGTTAGCAACTCCTTGTGCTGGGAAGTGTGATCCTGAAGGTTATCTGTTAGCAACTCATTGTTATTTCTTTGATAACCAGTCCTCAATTTCTCACTCACTGTCTTTCAATACCTACACTGAATGCCAGACCTTCTACCCCTGTAGGAGCTCTGTGTTTGGGAGTTGGGTCCCTGATGACTTCATACCTGTGGCATGCTTGGTACCTGGGAAAGTTTTTGTGCAAAGGCATAGGATGTTCAGTTGCTATGGTAGACTCTTATCAGCTTTGACCTTAATCTTAAGCACATAGACCTGGGAATAAAGGAACTTGCTTGCTTGGTAACTACAATGTTTCACTAAGCTCTGGTGCTCCTGGAGCTGTCTGCCTAACAGTAACTTTAGAAAATGGACCTTCTTGAGAAGTGCACAAAGCTCTTAACATTGCATATTGTAACTATGATATACAACTGCAGAATATGCAACCTTACTGATACTCTAAACAATAGTGTGGTTATGGTACTATTGACCTAATGTAGTCTATTGTTATAAATAATGGTGGCCACTTTGACAAAGGGCCACTCTGCCACCTTTCTTGCCTCTGCATCTTGTCTGTCTCTCTTTCTACTTATTGTTATTATTCTTTACATGCCCCTTCCTCAGTTTGTCAAGGAATGTGACATTTTCTGACCTTTCAGGCCAGGCAAATTGGATCATTTTGAAGAATTATTCTTTTAACCTCATGTTCCCACCAACCTCATCTATTTGTCTTTACATTTCCTCATTCAAGGACTTTGAACCCCTAGATTATTTGGGAGTATCTGGCATCAACTTGTTATGGCTGCTTCTGGTGATGTCTAGGGAAGGAAAACCCCAAGTCTTTGGAGAGTTATGGGTATTTAGCATAAAAAAAATGGATCCAAATAATTTTAGTTCACGTGACTCAAAAAATTTCAATTTTAATTAGATAAACAGATGAAAATAAAGATATCTTTTAAATTACTAACTCACAAGTTTTTCTAGGTAGTCAACAATACAATGTTGGTTTATATAAAATGTCTAGAATATAGTAGTCATTGTTTCTAGGATTTTAATTTAACAAGAAAGAGATGGATAATGCTGTTAACTACACTTTTCTTCTATCTAGGTTTTTACAGTTAAAAATGACTAAATTAGATTTAACATCCAATGAGATTATTCTTCACAATTGTGTTTGTTAGAGAAGACATCTGGTTAACTTACAAAGTTAAAATGCTAAAACATTGACTGCTAAATATAAAAATCAAGTACTCATGACTGCTTAAATTTCATGTTAATATATTAAAAATTAAATATGTAGTTTTAAAGTGTAAAGGAAAAGAGTTTGAGATTGCTTTATTTCTTTGTCTTCGCTAAAAATTATGGTTAGTAAGAGATAAGATTCTATCAAGATTAATTTTATATACAAAGAGTCAAAATCTTTCAGTAAATTTTAACTAAAGGACTATAAAAACAAAATATTTCATCTTATTAAAGTGAAGTAATTTATCTAAATTCAGAAATTTTATAAGGATTGTTTCAGAATGTAAATTTTAAAAAAGGAGTCAAAAACTAAGAATGAGGTATAAAAATGTTCTAGGTATGGAAATATATTTTAATATGAAAAGTAAAAAGAAAAAGAAATGTTTCTGGATGAAAAACCTTTTATATAGCAAAGTAAAAATGTTGTAGAATGTCTAAGTTATACATGGATTGTGGAGGGTGAAGCTCAAAAAGTTTGTTTGTGACTGATGGCTATAATTAACACAACAAATTAATTATTTCAGGTTTTCCAAAGGTCAAATATTAATGTATGGATATAAACAAAAGTTTAATTCTCTATGTGTTATAGTAACAAAAATTTCTTAAAATATTAATCTGATCTTATCCAACAAGATAATTTCTTATGTCTGTTAAGTTTTATTATTTAGAGAATGTAGCCTTAAAGAAATTAAGATTTGTACAACTCTGGGTAAACAATAAGTGCTATTTTAGAGTATTATACAACACTATGTATTCTGAATTTTCCTTTAAAAGCAAAATGTGGTTCATATAAAAACATCAGTGTAGTAGTGGTGCTGTTAATGGCTTTTTGGTGTACTCAATGTATTCATATATTCCAAGTATAAAAGTCTTTAAAATATAAAGTTTAGAAGAACATTTTACTAAGCTAAACTTTTTCAAGTGAGAGTTTGAATTAAAGATTTGGGATTTTAAAAATTATGTTTCTTCACTCATAGCTATTATACAAAATGAATGTTATCGGTCTTGTTAATTACATTTTTTAATTTTCCTGGTAAACTCTATAACTGTTGTCTTTTGGTGCTCTACTTAAGTACAAATTCTAATATAAAAACCTGAGTAAATTTGAGATAACAGGCTATCACCTATAGCACAGACATAAGGCTAACTTCCAGTCCTAATACCAACCCCATCTAAATGGAAGGGGTAAATAACAATAAAATTATAGAAATTGAAGTTAAAGCCCAGTACTCCTATGTCAGGCCTGCTAAAACTGGCATTCCAGATGTTTAAAACCAGAACTTGGAGACTAAATTTAAGGAAGTGAAAGGGGAAAGAAAGAAAATAGCCAATGTTTTGCTCTTGCCTTCTGAGGTCAGCTCAACCCCAAGGAATGAGGTAACTTCTCTAAGGGTTTTGTAACTGTGGGCCACATGACCTTCTGATCATGAGGATCAATGAGAACATGGAGACCAGAAAGTCAAACAGTGCACATACTACAATGAAGAGAGTCATTTTAGCATATCCCTAATGCTTTCTAGAGAAGCAAGACCTTGATCTGTCCTAGCAGATGGCACTAACAAAGTTGAGAGGCTTCTCCCAAGTTCCCAAGAGTTACTCTCTGAGGAATCTCAGCTGACTTCTAATAGTAGGTGGGAACAAGATCAATTTGACCAGCTTGGTCTTAAAATCAGGCAAGAAAGTTATAACCAGTGATTTTTGGTCATTTAAAAAGAAAGATGATAGTTATTTTAATGTAACATAAGATGTACACTTGTGACAGCTCCCCAAGAGTAAGTAAGTCTGGAGGCTATAAAGGAGGGATTAGAATACAGGAGAGCCTGATTACTATCAAAAGAGACTATCAGAGTCAAAAGCTTTTTTAAGTCAACTTAAGACTTACAAATCTTCCTAGCCTCTTGTATAGGCAGGTTTGATCTGTGTTTGGTAGTATGATCATCTAGCCCTAAGTAATAGAAATAAAGGTATCTTCACTAAACACAGAGGCTATGTCAATAAAATGTTACTTTACAAAAAACAGATGACATTAGAGCCTAAAATACATAAACATAAAAAAGTACAGCAGTCCTAAAAAAATGGCATGATTGTAATTACTTTAGTAAAGGAGCATGTGAAGCATCTTCATCAGATCAGAGTGCACTTTTGGGTCAGATTAAGTCAGTCCCAATATTTAAAGGAAGTGAGAGCCCTAAAATCTTCAGGTAAAGACTCTCAAGGTAAAGAAGGCTTGCACATATGAGATCATAAGCGAGCAAAGTCACAGAGTGCAAAAGCCTATAAGGAGCCATTTAGGTCCTGCAGCAGCTTGAATTTAAAAGTGACACTTCCACCCATCTCCCTTTGGCCCCAAATGAGTTTTGGAAAATTGCCTCTGTAGCTTACACTTCAGATGTAAGTCTTGAGGATACAGAGATCTAGCA